GTGGGAACTAGCCATTCAATGCCTAGGACTTAACCCAATAAATAAAACATTTTCAGACAGAGACTTGCACATGAATGTTTATAACAGGGATTTTACACTGTAACCCCAAACTGAAAATCCTCCATCTGTCTTTATATATTAGTTTGCAGTACAATAATCTATATAATGGATATGACTCAGCTCTGGAAAGAACAGCTGACTGATTTGCACACAATGGGGGAAAATCAAGATCATTACTCTAGGGAGGTAGCTCATCACAGGAAACCCCACACTGTGATTTCCCGGATGCAAAATCTATAAAATGCAAAATCTGAAATAACAAAAAGTGGTTCAGTGGCTGTTTGGGACTGGGGTGAGCTGGACTGAAATGTTGCATGAAAAAAGTGTAGGACAATAGAAGCCTTTTGTATCTTGATTGTGATTGTATTTTCACATCAAAACCCACTGAGCTGAGTGTGTCCTTGGCATGGAGGGCATTTATTGGGCATGTATTGTGCCTCAATAAAGCAGACAAAATAACGTGACCAGTAAAAATTATACATGGCTTACAAGACATTTTTAGAAGTATATATAAAATTTGAAAGAAAAAGAATGGAAAGATATATTCTAAGAAAACGCCAACCTAAAGGGGGAAAAACAAACCCCTCAAACAGTGCAGACTTTAGAGTAGGAAGCACTATTAAGATAAAAAGGAATATTTCCAGGGGATAGAAGAGCCAATATTTCAGGAAAGCAAAATTGCAAATGAATATGTACCTAATACTATAACCTCAAAATATTAAAATGAGATAGAATTTAAGGTGAAATATTCAAATATGCCATTATATTTAAAGGTTGTTTTTTTTTAAATCATACTGGCCTCAGTAATGGATACAGCAAGCAGGAAAAAAGTAAGTAGAGCTATAAAATTTTAGAACAAAGTGAGAAACACTATAAAGCCACCAGCAAAGTGAATTATTTCCAAGTATCTAGAGAATAGCTAACAAATTGACCATTTACTGCACAATAAGACAGGTTTCAGTGCATTTTGATGAATTAAAATTGTAGACAGTATGTTCTCTGATACATTAAATGAAACCAGAGCTATATTAAAAGAAAGTTCACTGGAAAATCTCCAAATGTTCAAAATTACATAATATATTCATAATAACCCATAGATAAAAAAGAAGTAACACTGAAATTTAAACACTAATTAAAACAATTAAGTACAATTAAATTCTAATTCATTAAATTATAATGAAATAACTGGAATAATGGAAATATAGCATTTTAACATGAATGGCACAGATAACATTCCACTTGAAAGACTTTAAATACATATATCATTAAAGAAGAAAGGCTGAGAATAAGTCATTTTGGGGTTTAGTCTTGAAATACAAAAAAAGCAAGATAAGATCAAATAATATAGGTTGGAAAATTATAAGGAAAAGAGCAAAACTTCAGGCCATCAAAGACACACTAGCAAAAGTTAAAACAAAAACTTGATTCTTTGGAAAGAGTAATAAAGCTAGTAAATTCCTGGAAAAAACTTTTTTAGACAAGAAGTAACAAATTATTGATATCAAGAATGGAAAAAGACATCCGTAAAGGCCTAATGAGCTGCCCTTACTTTGCCGGCCATGCTCTTTTGGGGGTGGACTTGGTGTATGCTGTTCGCTACAGCACTCTGCCTACACTTGTGTGGTCAAAATTCTTCATAGAAAATTATGCTTCTAAATTTGAAAATTCAGACAATAGGAAGTACCTATAAAAATTCAATCAACAAAAACCAACAAAAGAAACTAAAAATATATTCTCTTATACATGCTAAATAATATTTTTTAAAGTCTCTGGCCTAAAAAAAAAAAGAAAAAGAAAAAAGCAAAACTTCTGAGGCACATGTCTTCACTGGCAAATTCTCCAGTCATTTACAATAAAAAACAAAGATAAGCAAATGCAGAAAAACAATCCATTATAAGAAAAAGTAACAGAAGCATATTCTTAGAAAAAAACAGATTTTGGAATCAGCACTTAAGAACTTTAAGACAGCTATTATAGATATGGTCAAGAACGTTTTTAACTTAAAGAATGGATGGCAGTTGTCAGCAAGAGTAGAAACTATGAGATGTACCAAATGGGAACGCTGGAACTAAAATTCACAGCGTTTGAAGGGAAAATTTCCTCAGAATGAGCTCAGTGGCCAGTTACACAGATCAGAAGAAAAAGTCAATGTGTTCTAAGACAGATCAATGGAAATCATCCAGTCTGTGGAACAGAGGGGAAAAGAAGAGGACAAAGGAAGAGGACCTCTACGACAACAGTCAGGTGTGTGTTCCTGGGCTGCAGGGGCTTTTCAGGAAGGGATAGTGACACTTTCCAAAGATGATGAACATCAATCTGCAGAACCGGAAAGCACAGGAAATCCCCAAAAGAAAAAAAAGTATATATAAAATGAGAGCAAGCCTGAAAAGTACCCAGGGCAAGAACATAGAAGGCGAACAAATACCCAAAAGACTGCTGACTTCCCACCAGAGCCAGTGGACATAGGAGTGCAGTGAGATGACCCCTCACCCCCGAAAAACATGCCCCAAGAGGTAGCCTGCAAATATACAGTTAAAATAAGGACATTTTCAAATTAAAAAATGGAAAGAAAGTGAGGACAGCCGGCTAGTGCCACAAGAACTGCTCACATGAGCCCTTCATGCCAAAGGGGAAATAAATGCAGTGGATGGGACTTTGCATCTCCAGAAAACACGAAGAGTGGGGTGGTAAATGTCTAGGTGAGCACGAACAGGACTTGTTCTCCTCTTATTTAAAAACTACTGTTTAAAAGAAAAAAGAGAAAACCTAAAAACTACTGTTCAAGGTGAACAAAGTAACTTTCCATTGTAGGTTTTATCAAACACGTAAAAATAAAATAGATGGCAACAGCAGCACAAGGGAAAATGAGTGACAAATAAAGCTACAATGCATTTCTTACATTTTACGTGATGCCGTGAGTTTGACTCCAGATAAACTGAGACATGAGTGTATGATTGTCAGCTCCTAGAGCAACCATTAAAACACAATACAGAGGAAGGATTGTGATGTTTCTGTAGCACCGTAGGGTAACTACTGATTAAGACACTATGATAAAGGACCGGCGATTTAGCTCAGCGGTTCGGTGGCCTGCCTCGCAAACGCAAGGACCTGAGTTCGATCCTCCGTACAAAAAAAAAAAAAAAAAAAAAAAAAGAGACTATGATACGTGCCACAATGATAAGAAAAGAAGAACAGGAAATTCCTGACCCTCAAAAATATTAATGTCTGTAGAGATGGAAATGCTTACTGCCCTGATTTGATCACTGAACACTGTATCCGTGGATCAAATTACTATAATGTATCCCATTAGGATGTACAAATATTATGTCTCATAAAATTAAAAATCAAAGAATAACAATAAAGTACACAAGCAAAAAACTAATTTTAAAAGAGCTGTAATACATCCCATGTAGCAGTTACATGGAATGCTATATGGGTGCTCTAGAGCCGACATAAGAAGGTACCATAAAATGAGAGGCCTAAACCACAGGACTCCGTTGTGTCCTAGCCTCGGGGTCTAGGTTGAGGCGATGGATCCTTTGCAAACGAGAAGGGACAGAGGTCGACAGAAGAGAACCGAGCGGAGGAGGATGGAAAAGAATTAAGATTTAGGTTCAGGAACCAACTCTGCGTGACGAATGTCGTGCTTATGTATTTCAAACGCAAAGCTGCTCGGCAAAGAGCGTTCGTCCTCTGAAGGCGGAGCGGCACGACCTCCTCCGGACCTGGGCCCCACGGGGGCTCCTGAGGTTCACTTGGCTGGAGCCGTCCTCCGGGCCCACCTCTCTTCCTCCGCATTCCGTGGTCATCTATACCACGACGGCTGCACAATGCACGCCAGAAAATGGACCCGGAGCGAACTGAGATGGGAATGGCCGAGGCCTCTCGGTCACTCGCTCCTCCTCCCTCGGTTCAGACCTCAGCTCCGGCGTGACTGCCTTTAACACGGGACTGTGTCCACTCCTGGCCACTAGGTGGTGCTCTACTCAAAAACACGGGAATTTCTTCTTTTTCCTTCCCCTCGACAGCAGCGTTCTATCTGTTTTTTTCCTTCCAAAATATATATTCAGTTTTCTGTTTTCTGAGACTGCTAAGAACAAAAATAATAGCCTTGAATTTCTAATACTCTGGCAAAAAAGTGTTATTTAAAATAAAAGGAATACTCATTGCAACAGTCATTTCCACTGGGTCAGGCAGAGAAAGGGTCCCAAGCAGGAGGGTAGTAAGAGTTACAAGGCACAACCTCCTTCCCTCTCTGCATCTGTCATCGACCTCGCTCCCTCCCTCTCTCCCTTCCTGCTTCGGTTTGGATTTTATATGTTCCCCAAAGGCCCGCCATTCCGGGGCTGGTCCTCAGGTTGGCTCTGTTGGAAGGTAGCACAAATCTCGAACAGGTGGGGCCCAATGGGAGGTTTTAAGCCGTTCGGAGTCTGCCACTGAGGGGATGGGGCCCCGCCCCTTCCTCCTCCTCTCTTTTGCTTCCCAGGTGCAGGAGGTGAGTGGTTTGCTTTACCACACATTCCCAGCATGCTGTGATGCCTCCTACAGACCAAATGCAACAGGGCCAAAAAAGTCACAGGTGGGAACCTCAAAAATGTGAGCAAAACAAACCTTTCCTCTTTTTCAGTTGATTATCTCAACTACTTTTCTACAGTAACGGAAAACTGACGAATGCACTCTCTGTCCTTTCTTTCCTCCTTTCTTCTCTCCTTCCTTCTTTTCTTCCCTCTGTTTATTTTCTGCTATCTCAATTCTTGGCACTGCGATGTTTCGCTCCCAAGAGTTCACAGGAGAAGGAACTTCTGGGAAGACCAATGGCTGTAGTGGACCGACTAATGAGCAACTTGTAACGCGCAGCTGAACTGAGTCACTGTGGCTGGGCGTGGAGGACCCACCTGAGGACTGTTACCAATAGCCAGTAAAAGAACTGGGCAGGAAGATCTTGGCCTGCTGATTTTCTAGGGGGAGCTTGCTGATGACGGTTTTCCTGATGCGAACGAGGCTGTCTCTGGGAATGGCTGCTGCTTTCAACAGGGGAGCTCTGATGTTTACCGTAAGTTTCACTTCCTGGCTTCAGTGTGGTTTCCTCAGGTTGTTGGCACAGATCCTTCATCTCATCAGCGTAGATTTTTTTTTTTTTCTGGCTTCCACCCCTGGGCTTTGGGCCTTCCAGGTGCAGATCCTCAATACGGACAAGCATGCGACATTGCTGTGGGCTCCGGGCCACTGGCTGGACTCGAGGAGGACACTGCCTTGGACTCTAAGCCTTTAGCTGGACTTGTGTGGGACGCTGCTAGGATCCAGGCCCTCAGTTGAATGCTTTGGGCTTCTAGTATGTGGTTCATTTCTTGCACTCCTTTGTATTTGACTCTTTGGGTAATTATCATCAAATAACCTTGTAAGTTATGTGTCCTATATTTAAAGTAGTCCCTCACCCAATTCTGCTGATTCTAACGATAGTGCAGTTTCTGGTCTGGAAGCTCTACTGACCCTCATTTGACAGGGTTGGAAAGTGTCTCCTGTGCTCTCACTCATCCCTTACCTGACCTCAGCTGCTTGACAGGAACTAGCGAGAGACACGATTTTCCCCCAGCACTCACACACAAGTCAGAGCTACACGGAGCCAGCTACCCCCAGGAAAAGGGAAATCTGGCATCGAAATCACGGCCACTTGTTCTGTGCCCATGCGCAGGTTACCTGACCGATGATGTAGCTCAGAATTTTTTTTGGGCGGGGGCAGTGCTAACGGTGGAACCCGGGGCCTCACACATTTTAGGCAAGGACTGCCTCTGAGGGACATCGCTTGCTCGTGTCTGAAATCCTTTATCTATAGAGAGAATAATGACTTTCCTCACTCATTTTTAAACTGTGACTGAGTGAAGCACTTAGAACCATTCCTGAAACAGGATGCATCACCGGTAAGTGTTTGCAGTGATTCCTATAGCGAACAGGAGCGAACGCAAAGTTGAAAGACAGTTAGGATTAGTAAGAAGCAGCTGTTGCCAATCTTGAACCTTTGTCTTTTTGGCAGTAGAGCCAGGATCTTGAATATGTTGCAGAGCTCTGGGGGCTACTTCGTCCTCAGCTGCAGTTGCACAGAAAGTCTCGAAAATAACGTTCCTTATTGTGATAAGGGATTTGGGGTAAGACGCAGAAATTTCGGAGTAGAAAGCGGAATGAGCTTGGGTTGTTTTCATCACATGGGGCCCCATGTTCAGAAGTCATAACTAATATTCCAGGCAGTTACACTCTATATTATTTCTCAAACTTGCTTATATTGCTTAAGGCTTTCTTGTCTGATTCCCAGAAACCACAGATTATGTCTGCATAAAACATCCTGCTTTGTTCCTGAGCCCTGAGGAGTTCATTTAACGCCCCCACCCCGCAGTCCAGCGGACAGTGCTTGGTCCTGGTGTACGTTTCCCGTGTGAAGACTGCGGCACGGTGAGTCACTACCTTTGAAAGACATCCCTTGCTTTGAATTTTATGAGACCACATTCTGTTAGTTTTTCTCCCACTTCTCTGCATAGTCCCTTTCCTGTATGACTTCTCCTTTTCAGACCAGTTGTAGAATTTTGGATAATGAAGGTCCTACATATCCACTCACTGCTTACGATCACAGTTAGAGTAGAAGTTTGCCAGCAGAGGCCACTGCTGTTCTAATATTTGTCTGCCTGCACGGATTTAGTCGAGTGTAGAACTTCACAGAAAAAAAAGCATTGTTCTTTTATTTTTATTTACTATTTTAGTTGCAGGGTGATCTATTCCTGTTTTTCTTTTGTTGCCTGTGTTTTTGTTGTTGTGTTTGAGAAGTTACTGCCAAATCTAATGTCATGAAGGTTTTCCTCCATGTTTTCTGCTGTAAATTTTATAATTTTAACTCTTGCATCTCAGTCTTTGACATAGCATGTGTTAGTTTTCATGTGCAGTAAAAAAGATACAATTTCATGGTTTTGCCTCTGAATATCTATTTTTACCAGCATTGATTATGAGACTAGCCCACTGACTTTTGACAAAGATTCAAAACAAATTCAATGCTGAACTATTGTGGTGTTATAAATTAAGATATAAATTGTATTCACCCAGGGAAAAATTAAGGAAATATCTTTAAAAGTAGCAAAAGTAAAATGCAATTAAAACAATATACTATAAAATATCTACTTAACTCCAAAAAACACAGCAATGGAACAGTAGAAAAATAAAACCACACAAGATACACAAAATAAATAGCAAAATAGGTGGCAATTCCATTTTGTGAGTAATTATAGTAAGTGCAGTGAAGTAAGCACTTGAGACAAAAAGGAAAGAAGAGCAGAATATATATTTTTAAAATTGCAACTGGACACTATCTATAGAGACCGTTTAAATTCAAAGACACAGATGTCTTGAAAGAAAAAGAGTGGAAAAGATTAGGCCATGCAAATAAAAGAGATGTGAATGGCTATACTAATATAAGAAAAAAAATAGCCACTAAGACAACATATATGACCAGTGACACTGAGAACATTTTATAATGATGACAGGAGCGATAACTCAGGAAGACATCGTATTTATAAATAAGCATTTAGGGCCGGGGATTTAGCTCAGTGGTTCCGGCGCCTGCCTTGCAAACACAAGTACCTGACTTCAATCCCTGGTACCAATAAATAAATAAATAAGCATTTACCATGCAACTGAGATCCAAAACACATGAAGCAGAAACTGACAGACTTAAAGGGAAATGAGACAATTAGAAAGTAATAGTTAGAGACTTTACTATTCAACTTTCAACCATAGATAGAACAACTACACAAAAGATGAATAAGGAAACAGAATAGTATGGTCTGTCGAATGTACCTAAGGTCTACTGAACAAAATAACAGAATATATATTTTTCCTAAAGTGCACATGGACTATTTTCTTAGAAAGACCATATTAGAGTGTAAGACAACCCTCATTACATTTAAATGGAGTGAAATTAGGCAAAGTATGTTCTCAGACCAAGCTGGAAAGTCAGTAGAAATCACTCATAGATAGAATTTTGGAAAAGTAGAAAATATGTGGACATTAGTCAAAACATTAATAAATGGTCCCTGAATCAAAAACCATGAGGGAAATTAGAAAATGATTTGAGGTGAGAGGAAACAGTAATGCTACCTATCAAAAAATATGGATGCAGTTAAGTGCATAAAAGAAAACCTATGACTATGAACACCAAATGGAGAAAGATTTCAAGTTCATAACCTACACTTTCACGTTAACAAGCTACAAAGGGGGCTGGGGATTTAGCTCAGTGGTTTGGTGGCCTGCCTTGCAAGCGCAAGGACCTGAGTTTGATCCCCGGGACTGCAAAAAAAAAAAAAAAAAAAAAAAAAAAAAAAAAAAAAAAAGAAGAAGCTACAAAGAGAGTACAAGTTTAAGGTAGAGTAGTGGAGGAAAGGAAATAATTAAGATTAGAGTATAAATAGATGAGGCAAAGAATAGAAAAATAAGAGAGAAAATTGACAAAATCAAATCTTGGCTCTTTGAGAGAATCAACAAAATTGACGAAGTTTCATTAGATTGTATAAGAGAAAAAGGCCAAAGAGACTCAAATTATGAAAGCCAAGAATAGAAGGGGCTATCACTACTGGCATTATAAAAAATATAATTTTAAAGGAACACTATGAACAATTATAGGACAATATGTTAGCTAGTCAGAATGAAAATAGATAAGATGAAAACTACCAAAACTAACTCAAGAAGAAACAGCATTTGAATAGATATATAAAAACTAAAGTGATTAAGTTGTTAACCAGAAGGTTTCATAGTAAAATAAAGACATCACTGGTGAATTCCACCAAACATTTAAAAATCATTTAACACTAATCCTTCACAAAATTCTAAAAAATAAAAAATAAAAGTATAGGGAGCACAGTCTTACCATGATACCAAAAGCAAAGACCCCAGAATAAAAGAAACTTTTAGGATATGAAAAGAAACTTTAAGAATATGGACACAAGCTTCTTCAACAAAATACGAGCTAACTAAATCCAACAACATATAAGAAACACACACACACACACACACACACACACACACACATGAATATTATTCACCCTAAAAAGAAACAAGGTAGGGATACATGCTACAGTATGGACAAATGGGCAAAACATTGTGCCAAGAAAAGGAAGGCAGAGGCCAAAGGCCATGTACTGTCCACTGCATTTATATGAAACATCCAGAGCAGGTGAACTAATGGTGACAGAAGGCAGAACATTGGTTACAATTATCTAGGAAAAGGTAAAAGTGTTGCAGATGTATGGGGTTTTACTTGGGGGTAATGAAGACCTTAAGGAACTAGATGGGATCTGTGATTCTTCAATGTCGTTAATGTGTTAAATGCCACTGAATTGTTCCCTTTAAAATGGTTGATTTTATGTTATGTGAGTTTTGACACATTTTAAAAGCATAATCATATAATATTGGCACAAAGACAACTCAACAGGAAATAATATCTTTTCTCAAAACATGGTGCTGGGACAATTGCAAATTCACAAGCAGAAAAAATTCAGTTTGAGCCAGGTGTGGTGGTGCATGCCTATAATCTCAGCACTCAGGAGGCTGAGGCAGGAGGATCGCTGAGTTTGAGACCAACCTGGGCTGCATAATGAGTTTCAAGTCAGTCACAACTACATAGTGAGACCCTGTCTCAAAACCAAAACAAAGAAATCTACTTTGACCCTTTTACTCAACACTATATTAAAAAATTAACCTAAAATAGACTGTGGACCTAAATTTAGAGGCCAGCACTATAAACTCTTAGAAGAAAATAGAAGGGTAAATCTTCATGATCTTGGGTCAGTTGATAGTTTCTTAAATATGACACCAGCAGTACAAATGATAAAAGAAAAATAAGAAAGTTAAATTTTATCAAAATTAAAAATTTTATGCTTCAAAGGCTACCATCAAGAAAATGAGAAGAAAACTCATAGAATGGGTAAAAATATTTGAAAACATACATGTAATAAAAGACTTTTTGTGCAGAATATATTACAAATCTTACAGTGCAATGGTAAAAAGTTCAGTAATGAAAGTTTAAATTGGCGATAGATTTGAACACACATATGTGCAAAGGAGAATTACCTGTGCCCCAAAACCACATGAAAGATGTTCCACAACAATTAGTCATTAGAAAAATAGAATGAGATACCAATTCACATCTACGAGGGTGGGTGACTTCAAAACAGAAGTAGGAGATGTAGGAGAAGAGAGAGTTAGGAGGAAGGGGAGGGTGCTAGGAAATAACAAATGTTAACGAGGGTGTGGAGAACTCAGAATCCTCCAGACACCGCTCATGGAAATGGAAAACAGTGCTCTTATTGTGGAAGACCATTTGTCAGTTTCCCAAAAAGCATAAACAAGAAGCTACCATATGACTCCAGCCATTCTTCTCCTAGGAACATATGCAGAACATTGAAAACAAATGTTCACACCAGAACTTATACGTAAATGTTCACCAAAATATTATTTATGGTAGCCAAAAGTATAAGAACGCAAATGTCCATCAACTGATGAATAGACAAAAATAAAATGTGACATATCCACACCACCAGATAGAAATCACAAAATTGAAGGAAAGGTTGATATGTTCTACATATATAAACCTTGAAGAAATAATTCTCAGTGAAAGAAAATAGACATAAGCGACTACATCTCATAAAATCACATTTCTATGAAATGTCCAGGGTAGGCAAATCTATAGACACAGAAAGTAAATTAGTGGTTTCCAGGGGCTGGGGCCAAGGCAGAATTGACGGTGACTGGTTTTGGAATAATAAAATGTCTATAGATTAACAGTAATGATGGCTGCAGAACTATTTGATTACACTAGAATATATTGACATACAATGTCCTAAAAGGCAAATTTTATGGTGTATGAATTATATCTCATGAAGTTTTTATTCTTAAAAAGTGGTTTAAAGATATAACCACATGTCTCATCAGTGAAGACACATATTTGGCAAATAAGCATGGCAAAAATGCTTAGCATCATTTCCATTAAGGAAGTACACATTAAAAAATAATGGAAATAAAATGAGTCACCTAGTAGAATGGCTATAATTCCAAACTTATGGATGCAAAGTGATAGGAACTCTCAGGCATTGCTGTCAAAAATACAGAAGAGTATAGCCACCTTGGAAAGCAACTTGGCAGTTTCTTCCCCAGCTAAACATATTACTATGTGATCAGCTGTAATAGTCCTAGATATTTACCCAACTGATTAGAAAAAATATGCATTTGCAAAACTTGTACATAAATGTTTATATCAGTCTTGTGATTTCCTAGAACTGAAAGAAACTAAATAACCCTTCAATAGAAGGCAAGTAAGCAAACCGTAGCATATCTACGTGTGGAATATTATTCAGCAATGCAAAATGAGCTCTGAGGCTAAGCAAAGACATGGAAGAGTCCGAAATGCACAT